TAAACGTTAAAATCTAGTGTTTCACCCAATCATTTCTCAGAGAGGTAGGAGCTAGTGAGCTGGGAAGAGGGGGGGAGGGGGGATTTGAGTCCATTATTTGAATGGACATTAACCTGGCGACTGTATTTCTCTTAAATATTAATTATGTGAGCATACCATCATAAAATTTAGATGTTATTTTTACTACAACATAGGTATTGTGTCGGAAAAAGTGGAGTTTGGGGGTCGGGCCAGTCTCTATTGGAATTAATCCCATATGTTCTGTTGTTCACTTTACGCGGTTTTTACTTTCCTTCGGTACCCTGTGGGTTCAATTGACCGCGTAAATCGGGGTACTACTGTACAGTACAATAAAAGCAATGAATAATGAAAAATGAATAAAGTGTTACTGTGCACTTACCTTTAACATAGTCAGCTGAATGCACATGAGGCCTCATTAATTTTTTAACTAAGCATGGAGACTACATTAATTGGATGGAGCAGAGGAGAGGACAGGGCTGGGTGGGTCATCAAGTTCGCTTTCTTCAGACAGGCTAACATACCGTACTTACTTGTTGAAGGTAGTTGAAGGTATTGGATCATCGTTTGGGAGTGAAGAGGCAGCAGTGGTGGGAAGTGAGGGACTCGAAAATACGAAATGTGAAAAATATTTTATATGATCATGGCCGTCGTATGTCCGGGTTGTCGTAAGTCGAATGTGTTGTAAGTCGAGGAGAGACTGTATACCTATACTGTGTATGAGAAACGTAAGTCACAATATTGTACTTACATTTGTATGTGGAAGTTTGGAGCTTGATGAAGTGGTGCACTAAACATGGGAGATATCTGGTTACTGAAGCATAGGTGGATCATCAGGATCACTGGTGGAAGAGGGTGAATCAGTGGCGGTTGGTGGAGAGGTGGGTGGTGGAGTGGCGCGCGACCTAGAGGTGGCTGTGGCTGGGAGGCGGGTGGTTAAGTGGAAGGTGGCTGGGAGGAAGAGGAGGGTGGAGCGGCAGCATAAGTAGCTGGTTCTTTCTTGAAAAACATGGTGATTGGAAGTTGTTTTCTCTTGGCTTTGAGGTTTTTAAACATTTCCTGGTTGAGAAACAATACTTGGTTGATTCCTTGGACCATCTTAAGGCTGCGTTCCATGGAAGGGTCGTGGTCAACAGTGAAATCATTCACCATCTTTACATGACAAAATAGTTCACCAAAATTTTCAAAGCCCCAACCTTGTTGTAATTCCACAATGTCTTCCTCTTCCTCAGCAATTTTTACCAATTCTTCCAAATCCTCTTCTGTCAGTTCCTTTCCATGCCCATCAATCAGCTCTTCCACATCTTCAGCAGCCATGTCCACAAACACCTCACCACCTAATTGACGTGCAACACTCACAATGTCATTCACATACTTTACTATGGACGGAAATTCCTGGAAGTTATTCAGACACTAAGGCCATAAGGTGCACCAACAAGCGTTCACTGTCTCTAGTTTGAGTTCATTGAATGCTTCACTGATGTTGGTAATGCAGTCTGCAATGCTGTACTCCTTCCAACACTTGCTAACATCAATGTCAGGGTCTGCGTCCATGGCACTATGGATACGACCAAAAGAGCGACGTGTATAATATGCCTTGAAGGCACGTATTAAACCCTGATAGAGAGGCTGAATAAGAGCAGTGGTGTTAGGAACACCACCTCTACACCTGGATGGCTAAACTGCAAACTTTCTGGGTGACCTGATGCACTGTCTATCAATAAACACTGGCAAAAGGTTCTTGTTTTTACCCTTTAAAACCTTAGGGTTTGCTGAGTGGTAAAACAAGCCAGGCTTGATCATGTGGCCACCTGCATTGCCACAGAAGATGAGCTTCACTCTGTCCTTGACTGCCTTGAACCCAGAGGCACACCTCTCCTGTTTGTTTATCTATGTTCTACCAGGCATTTTCTTAGAATATAAACCAGATTCATCAGCATTAAACACTTGCTCTGGTCTATAGCCTTTCTCTTATATTATTTTCTTTAGCTTGGCAGGAAATGCATGTGCAGCTGTGTGGTCAGCTGATGTGGCCTCTCCAGTCAGCTTCATATTATGGAGCGAGAATCTTTTCTTAAAATTCTCGAACCAACCTTTACTGGCACTAAAAGTTGGTTCAGTCACTGCACTAGCCCCTTCACCACCTGTTGACTCATAAAAATTAGCATAAAGACTTTTAGCTTTCTCACGAATCATGTTGCTGTTGATCAGAAAATTTTTGCAGTTCTGTTCCTCAGTTCAAATGTTCAGTGCTTTCTCAGTTTTCACAATGTTCTTGTCACGAACAACCTGCGCCACTTTAGCACTTGCAGGAGCACTCGCTTGAACAGAATCATGAATTGCTTGTTCATTCTTTCTTATGTACCACACTATGGATTCGTTCACACCAAACAACCGACCAACCACGGCACCACTCATTCCTTCTTTTAACTTGTCTAATAATTTAAATTTCTTTGCCAAGGTCATCACTGACTTTTATTTTTTATGTTTCACTCCACTAGCATCACTAGCACTGACACAAGGCAGTTTTTTCAGGGCCATTTGTACAAAGAAACACGAAAGTTTTGAGAGGATGCTAGGTCACGGGTACTGGATGAGGGCAAACAGAGTGAGATGAGACGCCGCGGGCGAGTGAGGTGACTCATTGCGCTGTGGGAGATGGCTCGCATGCTAGCCACCAGAGCCACCAGCTGCTTATCGCGAATCGTCGAAATCGTGAATCGTAAACCCGCGAATGGGAAGGGTCTACCGTATCTCCAAAAATATAAGGGTGGCATGTTTTTCTATGGCCATGGAGATAGATTGCATGCTGGAACCAACTGCTATGAGGTTTTCTTAAGTTCAGTTGAATTCTGGGATCACTGAAGATTATGCACCCCAACTTATTTCACCTAATGATTCAAATATCTAACCTAACCCACCCATACCTTCAGGATGTTTAATCCTCAGGAGAATTAAGTAAGCTGGGAGGTCGGATCTTCTGATGATTCAAATTCTATACAGTACTGTATTAAGATTGTTGAGGTCAACATGAAACAGTAAAAAGTTTAGTTGAGCACAACCATTACAATGCATTTAACAATGAGCAGTAAGTCCTCCCTTAACGTCGTGGTTCCGTTCCAGAAAACCACGACGTTAATGGAATCAGTTTTCTCATAAGAAATAGATAAAATACAAGAGTTACTTTCCTGAGCCTACCTTTGCTCCATGAAATACATTACATATACTGTACAGAAATTCAATGGCATTTTTATAGAAAATAGTATATATATATATATATATATATATATATATATATATATATATATATATATATATATATATATATATATATATATATATATATATATATATACATATATATATATATATATATATATATATATCTTATACGCACACTTATACACGTTTTATTTCTCATATTTCTCACCGGTGCCTCGCCAGAACCAACTTTCACTTTCCACGGTTCATCTACCCATATACGCGTGAAATATAATTTTTTTTTTTTTTTTTAGCTCATAAAATTCATACAAATTACCCGTCCAGAATATAATTTACATTGCTGAAATTCTTACAATTTGATGATCATTTTGAATATAAACATCATAGATTTTGCATTAGACATACAAATTTTAGATCTAATGTTTACTCTGAATAAATATGTTATCTTTTGTGCAAAATATATGACATTTATATCAAAATATTCCTGGTCTTACAAGGAATCCAGCAATGTCAATTATATTATCCTACTTTAGTCTGAGGTATCTGAGGTATCTTAATATTATGGAATTTATAATAGTGCTCAAAATGTTGAAACTATCATCCGCTGGCCGTAAAGTTCTCTTCCTTCGATCCTTCTCCCTCTTCTTCCTTTACGTCATCAAACAAGGATCTGGCCTTATGCTGGATAACCATAAGGCTCACAGGCGCATTGCATTGATATTGGTCCTCCATCCACATAGCCAGCATCTTTTCCATCTTTTCAATCATGGAACTTCAAGTACGACTTGTCTTTTGTTGCACTTGGAGAACTACCACTTCCAGCACTAGCCTTAATCTTGTCCATGTTGGTCTGGATAGTACACACTGTTGTGGGGGATAGTCCAAGAGCACCAACAATGTCCACCGCACGTTCCCCATTTTCAAAATGGGTTAAAAACCTCCATTTTCGTAGCAAGGCTGATGGTCTTACATTGCTTCTTTACAACACGAGTATCAATAGCACTTAATGGGTGCTTGGAAGCCATTTCGAATGGTTAGAGTACAGTAGTACAAGCAAAAACACTTGAACACGTAAGAACGCTGTGGAAGCCTAACAAAGACTGGCGTACGCTGTGTGACGTTCAGCGAGTGAGGGGTAACGCGCCAAGCTGAGAGAGCATAGCTCGGCAAACGAGAGAGGGTGATGCGCTGTAAAAAGTAGTTCATGACGACGCAAAAACGACGTTATATGGAGTCGTCAGGACGTTATCCGAATTATTGGCATCTAAAGAGCAGCGGCGTTATAATGAAACAACGTTAACGGGGGCAACATTAAATGAGGACTTACTGTACTCATGCTTTTTTTAAATCTGTAAAATATATGTTTTTACTGAAGTACCGGTATCCTTATGCTTTGTAAAAGAATACTGTACACAGAACCTTTCCCACCATAAAAAAAAAAAAAATAAAATAAAACGGTGAATCCGTTGCTTATATCTGGAAGAGTCTGGGACTCCTTGAGAATTCAGTGAGTCTCTTGGAAAGTTAACCAAGGGGTCCTGGACTCTCCTTACCCTACCTTATCTATCCATACCCACCAGGTTATTGCTCCTGTTTAAAGTTAAGGAGTTCCATACAGTGTACTTCAGTCACATTTTCCTTTGGATGTAATATGGAATAAAGTAAATAACTTTATGCAAGCAGAAAGATGTCCACCAATGTCTGGTGTTGGAACACTTTTGCTGTCACTTACTTTTATAATGTTCCATTTTATTTCACAGGGTGGTTATATGGCAGCCAAAATAGCTAAATTGGAGGACCAGTACAAGACATCAGTCAAAGAAAGGAGTCAAGGAATATTTAATGCCATAGCAATATTTGTGAATGGATATACAGGTTAGTGATTTATACTTGATATAATAATGAACCATAATGATATATCTGTACCCTACTACTGTACACTATATTATGGACTTTTTCATTGTAAAATACTGTTCCTGATTATTGGTGAACACAGTACAGTACAGTGGCAGCACAACACTATCTGGCTTCTTCTTATCTCAGCATTACACCTTTTCACATATCCGTTGAGACATTGTTACATAACTATTTGACAAATTTCATAACCGAATGACAGAACACATATTGAATGACAATCTAAAATAACTGTTCGTTCATGCTAACGGAAATGATTGACATAAGTTATGAAGTTGACAGACGTGAACAATAAACCGACAGTCTACATATAGTTTGAGAATGTAACAATTGGAGAATGACATACCACCAACAGTTATTTTAGATTGTCATTCGATATGTGTTCTGTCAATCGGTTATGAAATTTGTCAAATACAGTAGTTATGTAACAATGTCTTAACGGATATGTGAAAAGGTGTACTGATTTATTAATTAGATGAGAGAATTACAACTTACTGCATGATACTGCTTCAAAGCTACTGTACCAGCCACAGTCTTATTTTTAATGGACAGTTGTTTAATCAACTACAACTGTACAGTGGTCCCTCGGTTAACGAACACAATTCGTTACAGAGGGTCGTTTGTTAACCGAATCCATTGTTTCAATGGGATATTGGGTAATTGGTTCCAGCTCACCAAAAACTACATACAAAGTAAAAAAAAATTGCAGTAAAGTACACTTACTTTGAGGTGTGTATGCAGAAGGTTCCTGGTTGATGATGATGATGGGAATTAGAAGTGGGGGTGGAGGAGAAGGGAGAAGAGAAGGAAGTGGGGATGGAAGAGAAATCACTTTTCAGTGGACCCATGCTTGATACCATCATAACACCAATAAAATTTTAAGTTCACTAGGTGTAATTCAAGATTATTTTATTTAAATCAACACTGCACTAGACTATATATTATCAATATGTTAACTAAATTTCAGAATGACCAATAATTTCAATGAAAAATGCAAAAATATTCAAGACACCAACAAAATAGATGTTCACTCCACTGTCACTGTCAGCCTTGTGGATGAGTCAAGCATCTGATGGGCGCACAAAAAACTAGTACCCTGTGTTGCATATATTATCAATATGTTAAATAAATGTTAAAATGACTAATAATTTTAATATAAAAAATACAAAAAATATTAAAGAGCACAACTTTATTGATATTTACTCCACTAGAAACGAATGTAAACATAGAACAGATAACTGAATTGGCAGACTAGCTCATCAGCTGATGCACACAACAAAACCTGATGTTCGTAAGGATTTCGTGATTTGAATTTTTGTTCTTTAACCTGAATTGAAGATTCTTGTGGAAGGTAATTCGTTAACAGAAATTTCGTTAACCGAATCGTTCGTTAACCGAGGGACCTCTGTATTTATGTTCTTTCAGTAGAAGTAAGCTGATGAATTAGGGAACTTTATTTGATTTAAAATGCATTGAGTCATAAAAAAAATTGGTAATACACTAATATCTCTGTTAGCTGGAAGCCCTCAAACCCGGAAATCTCCGATAGCCGGAATTGAAATTTGCTCGGAAAATTATTCCCAAAGCCGGAATTTTCCCAAAATTTCTGGCTTTAGGAAAAAATTTTCCGAGGTTGAAAAGCGAGAGAATTTTCTGGGAATACCAGACTGTTTACCTTTTTAGTAATAAATAATAAATCAGACTAAAGTTAGGATAATATAATTGACATTGCTGGATTCCTTGTAAGACCAGGAATATTTTGAATATAAATGTCATATATTTTGCACAAAAGATAACATATTTACTCAGAGTAAACATTATATCTAAAATTTGTATGTCTAATGCAAAATCTATGATGTTTATATTCAAAATGATCATCAAATTGTAAGAATTCCAGCAATGTAAATTATATTCTGGCCGGATAATTTGTATGAATTTTATGAGCTAAATAAAAAAATTATACTTCACCCGTGTAAAGGGGTACACGCACCGCGGAATGTGAGCATCCTGGGTTCTGGCAGGGCACGGCGTAAACGTGGAAACGCGGAATGTCGGACCGCGTAAAGTGAGGGTTGACTGTATTATTTTTCTTTATACCACCACATTATACATGCTTTGTTCTTTATTTTGATATATAGTACAGTACATGTTAATGAACACAATAATACAAGGAAAATGTGAATGGAAATCGAGATGTTACTAAACATTTTCCTACTTTTTCAACTGATACTAAAAAAAATGGATTCAATTTCAAGAATTTTCAATTTTTTTATCGTTTCATACAATTTTTCAGACAATTTTATGCTAGAAGAGATCCCATTATAATTAATAAAACATGTCCATGGCAGTGAAATGAGCTCTAAAAAACGTCTATATTTTTTCAACGTTTTCTCGGCAAAGTCTCCGAGGTTGAGCGGAAGTTTTCATGCATGTTTGTGTCTCAGGCTTCGAGGTTGAGAGAGTTAAACAAATTCACTCATAGGTGGCCCCAAGGCCAGCCATCCTTAGACACGAAGAGCAGTCATTATTATTATTGTATCGTGCACGACCAGCTTGTGAGATATACAACTCCTCCCTGACTTACGACCTACTCGACTTACGACCACCCGGACATCCGACCTCTCAGTCGTACCAAAATTTTGTCAAATTACGTATTTTCAAGTCCCGACGTCAGTGATTGCGCTGTGTACTGACAAAATTTTCATTTGTAATTCACTTTAAAATGGCTGGCAAGCTTAAAAGTGAGAGTTTTGTGGTGCTGAGAAGAAAAAGAGAGACCCATTTTAGATTCTCTATGTATTATTTAAGCATTTTTGACTTTCTGCCATTTTGCCTTACTACCTGTATTTGGGTCCTTAACCAGGTCATAAGTTGGGGAGGAGCTGTATAAGAATTTTGTAGCGACTGAAGAATAACTATTATGATTTTAATATAATGTAATTCAGGTATAATTTATTTAAACTACTGTAATATGAATTGAATGTAATGTAATATAAGGTAATGCAATATACTTAATAGATGCTTATACATTTTTGTAACTGCTGTAGTTGTTTTACTCATGTAACTGTTGTTGAGTCGGCTGGCTGACGTGGCTGAACTTGGTTCGAGACTTGAGCCGAGACAGCTTCTTTCTGGCAGCCGATATATATACTGGTGGGTGGTCTCGGAACGATCACTCATTCTCGTTCCGTGCTTGAGCGCAGTTCTCCTCACCACACAAATAAACTGATGGATATAGCCTGAGTTTTTCTGGATCCAATACTACAAATTGTTTTTTTATTTGATTTCCAAATTTCCCTGAACTTACCCGCAGGGGGGTGGGGTGAATGCCTACAGTAGCCTCGGGGTTCATTATCTCGATTAGAGCTGGTTCAGTTAGCCCTCTATTATTTAGGAACCTACCCAGTACTGTACTTATAGTTCTAAATGGGGTATTGTTGTACTACAGAATGAGTTCAATCCAGATTGATGTATAGCATTCAAATTAAGTGAAATATGAATGCTCTCATTCACATTCCTGTGGATTCAGTCCAGATTAAGCGATACAATAATTGTGGTCCAGATTAGCGAGATTTGCCTGTGCAGAGGGTCCCCGACTTACGAACATCCGACTTTTGAATGCTTGCCGATACGAACGGGGCTAAACTTTAAATTTACAGTATTTTATTTACTTGATGACTTATTTTTTACTTTCACTTTCTATTTTTTGTCATTCTCTTTCTTCTTTTCTCTTAAATTTAGTGATTTTAGATGTATATAAGGACTTAGGTTATGATATAGTGGGATTTTAAACATTGTTCTGTAAGTGTGGTACAGGTAGTAGGCAGCTATCAAACAGGGAGGTACTACCGCCTGGGAAGATATTGGAAGCATAATGTGTTTTCTAATGGTAGACCCTGCTGCCATATGGCATCACGAAAATTGTGACCAAGTCCCAGGTTGCTGATCTGTCTTTCTGCCTCATTTACATACAATTGTAGGGTCTCAATTGTTAACCTTACCACATGCATACCGGTATAGCATTTCTCAATATTGATTTTTTTTCATTCTTGTATTTCTTTATATTTATTATTATTATTATCAGTGTTATTATTATTATTATTATTATTATTATTATTATTATTACCATTAATACGGTCAACCCTCGCTTTACACGGTCCCACATTCCGCGTTTCCACATTTACGCGGTACCCTGCCGAAACCGGAATGCTCACATTCCGCGGTGCGTGTACCCCTTTACGCGGAGAGCAGCTGGCGAGCCGCGCCATTTTTGGATCCAAACCTCCCGCCATCTCTCCCGCCCTCTTCCGCCATCCGCCATGTTGTGTAAGCGGCGCGAGCAGGGTGTGCACAAGGTTGCCCAGTCATCAAAACATTATCGAGTTCTTCACCCACCACAGCCGGCCCAAGTCAGTGATAGTGATAATGATAGTGAGGATATGGACTTTTATGGACTTTGAGGGGTTTGACAAAGAGGCCCTGCAAGCCTCTGTGGTGGATAGTGATACAATTGATACAAGTGATACAGGTGAGGGCCAATAATCTGCCCTCTGCCTCGGAACCAACCCCCCATCCCCGTGTGCCCAGCCATCTTTTCTACTAATGTAAGTGTTAATAAACCTAATATTATTGATATTTCTCTTAATTATTAATTGTGTGTGCATACCATCATAAAATTAAGAAGTTATTTTTACTACAACGTAGGTATTGTGTCTGAAAAAGTGGAGTTTGGGGGTCGGCCCGGTCTCTATTTCAATTAATCCCATATGTTATGTTGTTCACTTTACGCGGGCCGCCGTGGGTTGAATTAACCGCGTAAAGTGAGGGTTCACTGTATTTTATTTTACTTATTATTTTAAATTTTATTTTGTATGAATTATTATTATTATTATTATTATTATTATTATTATTATTATTATTATTATTACAGTGGGGTATGCTATAACGAACGTAATTGGTTCCAGAACCTTGTTCGTTATAGCATTGTTTGTTATAGGATTAATCCGTTCCAGGCCCCCAAATACAACCACTTAACACTGAAAAAATTCTGTGGAAAATGTAAAAAATACGGTACTTTATCTTACCTTAGTGTTGTTCAGCATGCAGGACAGGAGGCAGAGGGGGAGGTGGGAGGAGAGAATTATGGAGAAGAGGTGGAAGGAGAGGAGTCATCCTTCCTAGCCCTCTTTGGTGACTGTCTCACAGGCACTTTGTCTGTAGGTTCTTTTGTTACCTTTGTAAAGAAGGAATCCAGGGTTGGCTGCTTCAACCTTGATTTCTGGACCTTCCAAAAGTAGTTCATAACATTGTCATTAAACACACTGATGGCCTTTTGCACAGAACCAACATCAGGATGATAATACTCAGCAAGTTTGGACAGTTTGCTCCAGCAAAAGAACGCATCCTTGAGATCTTTGGCTGGAATGATGCGGCTTTCCTCCTCCTCCCCTGACTCCTCAGAAGTTAAGCTCCGCTTCAGTGTCTCAATTTCCTCTTTGTGAAGCTCAAGCAGCTCCTCAGTGGACAATTCCTTACTGTGCTCTTCCACCAACTCCTCAACATCATCATCATCCACTTCCAGGCCCATGGAATTGCCCAGAGACACAATTTCATGAACAACAGCCTCTTCTTCTAACTCTTCGAAGTCTTCAAAGTCTCTTTGAAGGACACATTCATAAGAACATAAGAATGGAGGAAACTGCAGCGGGCCTATTGGCCCATACTGGGCAGTCCCGTTTACACCCAACCCCTATTGCTCATATGAGCATCCAACCTATGTTTGAAGCAATTCAGCGTATTCGAGTTAATGATGATATTTGGTAACTTGTTCCATTCATCCACTACTCTGTTTCCAAACCAGTGTTTACCTATATCACGCCTAAATCTAAATTTGTCTAATTTAAAACCATTGTTACGAGTTCGCTCCTGGTTGGATAGTTTGAGTACCTTTGTAATGTCCCCTTTGATTAGCCCTGCCTTCCACTTATACACCTCTATCAGGTCGCCCCTCGCTCTACGTCTCTCAAGGGAGTGCAAATTAAGATACTTAAACCTGTCTCTATACTCAAGGTTCCTAATGCCCGGGATTAGTCTTGTCATTCTCCTCTGAATTCTTTCCAAGGATTCTATATCCATTCTGTAATACGGTGACCAGAACTGAACTGCATAATCCAGGTGTGGTCTCACAAGAGCAAGATACAGTTTTAGGATGACCTCACTAGTCTTGTAACTAACACTCCTTTGTATGAACCCAAGTACTTTATTAGCCTTGTTACGAGCAAAAACACATTGTTTACTTGGCTTAAGGTTCCTACTTATCATTACTCCTAAATCTCTCTCGCATTCAGGCCACAATGGCCTCCAAGCAACACAAAGACACCTCACAGTAACTTCTTTCCAGGCTGAGGTAATTAAAAAAACAGCGTCTGCTATATTGAAGTGACTTTTCCAAAATTCCTTCAAGCTAACATCACTGGAAGAAGTGGACGCAAAACATTTTCTAAACAGTGCCTTTGTGTACAGCTTCTTAAAGTTAGAAATTACCTGTTGATCCATGGGCTGGATGAGAGGTGTTGTGTTGGGTGGCAAGAAGTGCACAGTGATGAAGTTGAACTCCTCTGGCAATTCAACCATAAAATTAGGAGGGTGGGCTGGTGCATTGTCCATCACCAACAAAGCTTTCAGTGGAAGATTATTCTCCCTGAGGTATTCCCAAACACTGGGTTCAAACACCTCAATCACCCACTCAGAGAATAAATTCCTGGTCACCCAAGCCTTTGGGTTTGACCGCCACATAACACCAAGGCGGGTCTTCCTAATTTTTTTGAAAGCTCTGGGGTTTTCTGCATGGTACACAAGGAGTGGCTTTATTTTGCAGTCACCAGAAGCATTAGCACAAAGAAGGAGGGTAAGCCTGTCTTTCATTGGCTTATGGCCAGAGACAGAAGTTTCCTCCTTGGTAATGTATGTACGGCAAGGCATTTTTTTCCAAAAAAGTCCAGTTTCATCACAGTTGAATACCTGCTGAGAAACAAACCCTCCCTCTTTAATAATATTAAAAAAAATGTCATGGTGTTCCTTAGCTGCTTCCTTATCTGCACTAGCAGCATCACCATGTCTCACAACACTATGTATTTTATTTCTCCTTCTGAAACCAGTTAATCACCCCTTGGTACCCCTAAACACTGGCACATCACTATCACTTGCACTGGGAGTCTTGGCTTTAAGGTCCTCAAACAATTGTCTGGCCTTCTCACAAATTATAGCTTCACTAATGCTATCACCTGCCATTTCTTTCTCCTTTATCCACACTAAGAGTAAATTTTCCATCTCCTCAATCACATTACACCTTGCTTTGCTAAGTCTAGAGATTCCCTTAGCCACTTGCACTGTTTTCAACTCCTCTTTATTCTTTAAAATCGTACATATAGTCGATTTAGCCATCCCATACTCATCACTAAGTTTCGCAATGCTTGTTCCATCCTCACGTTTCTTTATGATTTCTTTCTTAGTTTCAATAGTTATGAGCTTTCTCACTCGCTTTGGACGATTCATTGTCACAATTGTACACTTGTATAACAAAATATTTATACAAATAACTCTATTTCCACATCAAAAGACGAAATTTCAACAATAACAGTGGTGCACTGGCTACACAATGAGACAAAGATGGCGCCTGACGCTCTTGTTGTGGGTCGCGGTACAACAATATTCATGCGCCAGGCTAAATAGTCCCGTATTCATCCGCGTTCGTTGTAGGAGTTGCGTTCGTTATAGCATTCTCAATTTTATAGTTAAAACCGTTCGTTATAGGAATATTCGTAGTAGGATCCGTTCGTTATAGCATACCCCACTGTATTATTATTATTATTATTATTATTATTATTATTATTATTATTATTATTATTATAATTATAATTATAATTATAATTATAATTATAATTATTATATTTTCGCCTCCCGGGCCCCGATGTGCGTTAGTGACCTGTGCCCGGGTGGGCTAATCCCCGTAAAAAAAGAAAAGAAAAAAGAAAAATGCACATAGCATGTGTTCCACCTTACGTACATTTACGACTTAAGAACGTCTTCAGAAACGGAACCCGTTCATAACCTGGGACCCCCTTTACATAAGTTATTTATGAAAGTAAATCTTTACTTATCATTTCATTTCCATAATCTGCATATTCATGAGTTACTTTTCTTTTTAGTTTAAGAGGCAGCAAATTTTGGAGAGAAAAATTTTAATTAATTGACTTGTTGGTGCAAATATACAAACAATTGTCAGTCCCCTAATATGGAACTTCTTACAGAACCTTCATCTGAGGAGTTGAAGCGTATCATGATGACCAATGGCGGCACTTATCACCACTACTTCTCTCGCAGCAAGACCACCCACATCATTGCCAACAACTTACCAGATACTAAAATCAAGAATTTGAACACAAATAAGATTGTTAGTCCAAAATGGATTACAGAGTCATTGGAAGCTGGTCACCTGCTGGATTACACTAAGTATATTCTTTACACTAACCAATCCAGAAGTCAACCCAAGCTACCTTTCAAACCAATATCCACATCTGAAGAAAATAGTGACACCAGCACTGGAAAGTCCTCCATAGTACACAGCAAAGAACATCCCCCACTTGTACCTGATACAGAGGATCACCAAGAAACCAGCACTGGTTCACCAACTTTTGACACATCCTTAAGCTTAAAAGAGACAAAGTTACCTACAGAAGTTCAAAGTATAAATGATATTGAAATAAAGTTAGATGGGCCCACAGGTACTTCTGACTTAACCTCTGTACACAATTATAGTCCTATGAAGACTCACTCTATGAGCACTGCTAACTCAGGGTTTCTCTCTGAATTCTACAATAACTCAAGACTTCATCACATCTCAACAATGGGGGCCATGTTTAAACAGTATGTAAATGAACTTCAGAGTAAAAATATGGATTTTCCTGGTCGAAAAGATCTATTGAAATGGTTGAAAACTAAAAATGGACTAATGAGTTCATCTGAGGGAAGTTTAGCTGGAGATTCTGCATTAAAAACTTCACTTGTTAGTATTTCAAAGAAAAAAGGAAAGAGAATTGTGATGCATATTGATATGGACTGTTTTTTTGTGTCCGTTGGTCTACGTAAACATCCAGAGTTGTGGGGTAAACCTGTAGCCGTTACACATGCACGAGGTAACCCCAGATCTCAGGTGCGAGAGGGGATGGATCGACAGTATGAATTGAACTATTATAAAGACCGAGCTGAGAAACGACTTCAAGCAAAAATGCGACCAACAAATGCTTCCAGATTGACAAATGCTAATCCAGAAATTGATGTTTTTGAGGAAAATTATACAATTGAGGCGAGTAAACCACCAGACTTCACAGTAGTCCCAGCATCTACTAAAAAGTTTTCAACAGTATCACTAATTGATGAAACAAGCTCAATGTCAGAAATTGCATCATGTAGCTATGAAGCACGGAAAGCTGGTGTGAAGAATGGCATGTTTCTTGGGCCAGCACTGAAACTGTGTCCTGATCTACAAACAATACCTTATGACTTTGAGGGATACAAAGAAGTTTCCTACAAACTGTACGACATTGTTGCCAGGTCAGTTAAAGTTGCCAGCTCAGTTAATTACAGTACAATATATTGTTCTTTTGGTTCCTCTTTACAATATACTATACAGACATTCCCCAAGTTACAGATTTCTGACTTAACAGATATTCTCCCATAAGTCTTATTTAAAATGAGCGCCAAGTAATTCCTGGGCCAAGTGGGGATATTTCCAACCATACCCCACCTGTGAGCTGTACGAGATTGTGAGGTTATGGTTATTTTTTAACTCCTAGTTTCTGGTAAATATATATAATTTTCTTAGTTTATTTTTATTTAGTTACATACACACTCAATCTTACATACAGAAAATGCCCCAAAAATAAAAATAAAAGAAATACCGTTAATTATCATAAGGTATAAAGTATTTTTAACTCATAATTTTGGGTAGATATACTGTATGTAATTTCCTTATTATTATTTTTTTTTACTCAGTTACATACTCACAATCCTCCATACAGAAAGTGTAAAAATTATTACAATATTTTCTTAATTTAACGAACTGTTTCGAGCCACCCCTATTTGTTAAATAAAAGTTTCTGCTAAATGAAGCTTTCCTTCGCTCAGTCTGTGTCCTGCCGCCACCGCGTGTGTTGTTCACTGCCACCTCTCGGTCAACTAAGTATACTACTGTACACTGGAGCACTTTAGCTTTTGTCTTTATTCAAGACATCTTCATAGACAACTGATTTTACAGGGATGGAATGTCAGGTCACTCTTTCTTAGGTGGGGGATTAGTGAGTCTCTTGACCTGAAGATGTCTTGAATAAAAACAAACTAAAATTTTTTTGGGGGGAGACTTGACCTGACCTGATGCAATGTCATTTGGAGGTAGGGTGGGGGATTAATGGTCTCATATTACTGACCTGCTGGAATGTCAGGTCACTTTCTTGGGTGGGGGATTAGTGGGTCTCATGACCTGAAGATGTCTTGAATAAACACAAAACCTAAAGTATTTTTAGGGAGATTGTGGTAAGTATGAGTATAAATGAGCAAAGTTGTATCCCTTCAACATTACATTACATAACATTTTAAAATATGGAGTGAGAAAGCAGAAAGGTGTGGGTGATTAGGGGGATGGGAGATGAATCTTTTTGTGGGGAGGGGGGGGGTGGTTGCTTAGTCAGTTTTCTCCCCTCCTTCCTCACTCAAGCATGGCTAATTGTGATAGGGAGATGAATTTGATACCATAATGATCCTTAATAAATTCTCTACGAGACATTTCCAATATGGTGTCCTTAAATGACAAGCTGAATAATAAGGTAAAAATAAGTACAGCTATTTTACTGAATATGAAGAGTACTGGTATTAATATGCTCAAATTATTACAGTAACATATCTTTACTAATTTATAAATAACAAATAAACATTATTTTGTTCAGTTACAGTAAGAATGACTGAGGCAGAGGTGGGGGATGAGTGGTCAGTTTCCCTAAGGGTCTCCATCCCTCCACCACCAGTCTTTCTATGTACAGAACTAAACAAAGAATTTATTTTAAATACTCTGAAACATTCAATGCTAATATCCTGACCACTGGGGCTAGTTATACAGACTTTTGAATCGGCTGCTTGTCCAATTAACCAGTCCGTTCACACATATTTATATTTGGGTTTTAAGTAACGAGACCCAAACGGTAGTTCCTTTGTTTTATTATAAAAGGTTGTATATATAATTCCTGAGTGTATATCAACCGTAAGTCTCACTGTCTAGGAGTGAATGAGAAAGGGACGGCGTTTATGTATGATAAACGTTAGGTCACGTCCTTACGATATGAGTGGAGGTGAGCTACTGAAGCTTGGGGGCATCGCAGTGCGTGCTTACAGAAATGCTGAGCTATGGGTCTCGCCCTCTTGGGTAAGTTGCCCGCTCACGTGTCCATATCATGTCTCACTCATAGACAGTGGAAAGTTACAGGGGGTGAATCTGAATATAATATCAGATGTATTGACCCATTTATATAATACGTTCTGTTGATGAGACAGGGGCCTATTACATCGCTCGGTCACCTACCAGCCGAGCTCCGTGAGGCCTAAATAACTCAGAGAGTACAGTACATCCTAGACAACCCTAACCATGTTATAAACAGATATGTAGACACTAAGCTGGGGAAATTACTGTAGGGGTATTCTCTACTACAGGGGACCTAGACTTTTGTGTCGTACGGGTTAGTATATTATGAACAATGTTGAATTTGGATGATACTGCTCGGTAATAACAGAACAGGAACATAATTGCCAGAATTAACAGAATAGAGGGAATCGTAAGACTTGGTAGTGCAAATTCCCGTGACAGGTAAAATGGCAAGTTATTATTCAAATCAGCAAAATGTGTCTCGTTCAAGAAAGCTAAAACTTTTAATTTCTCTGATACTATTTGAATATCCTTGATAGTGAAATTCATTATAGGAAGTGGAATTAAAGCAGACTTGAGTTTTCGATTTAACGCAAAATGCTGATGAGTAGGCAAGGTCCGTAATGTACTACAAGTGATTTCACAGTAATCAGGAGCCTTGTAATGCCCTTTCACAACTAGCTGCTTAACACCATTTGGCATTTTAAAATTACAGTAGTGAGATTTGGAAAGAACAAATACTGCACATTGTGAAGGTGAGCGTGGAACACAGTCTTTAGACTAACTGGCCTATAACTGCATTGCGCTAACGCTGTGCGTACATTTGGTTGTATGACTGCCAATTCACATATTCCCTCTGCAGCAGGAATAAATGCAAACATGTAGGCTGGACATATGTGTAGGTGTAGATAAGACGACTTACACCGTGACAGTACCTCAGAATCCTCTATTGATAACAATGAATATTCTTCATCTACTAAGAAAAGTTCTTTAGGCCTATCTAGGGTATACAGTGTGTCGTTCACAAACCAGGGGAAGGGTTCTAAATGCCATGCATTAAACTCATGTTGCCCTCGCATAGGAATGTGGATCAGAATTGCATTGTGCGTGAGGGTTGACTCCAACAGCGGGTAATAATAGTGAACCTCATTGTCATTGAAAATAGGAGTTAAATGATACTGCAACTTGGCTATTTTTAAAGCTTCAAGAAGCGTCTGCACAGGCACAAGCTTCGCGTCCACACGTCCTATCCCGGCATCTACAATGCTGTCTATTAGTTCATTTTTAGAGGTTACAATTTTATGAACTGAAATTTCAGCAGCATGCAAATATTCTGTGAAGTAAAGGAGCCATTCTAACGTCGGGATTGCTTTCTGTAACCTAGTAACAATCCTCGAAACTTGGTTAGACTCCATTATGATTGCATTAACCTTTGATTCTAGAGCAGTAATCGCGTGAAAGGTTTGAGAAATAACGCGATTCTGTTGAGATACAGCCTGAACGACAACGTTCATTCGGTTCCCCAGTTTAGCTACATCATCGGCCGTTGCCGTGCCAAACAAAGCGCTTTGGATAAGACCCACAAAATTAAAGAGACCCCTTTTTCGTCGTGCCTGAGAATGCACTTCTTGAACAAGATCCGCTTGAGATGCAGGTAGATTTTTCCCCACATCAACTAGAAATTCGCGAAGGTTCTGGAGACGAAAGTGTAGAAGGTCTATAGTTTGTGAAACTATTGTCGAATTCTTCGAAGCTGTGCTGAGACTATGAAGGATGTCCAATGCTGATTGTAGTTGGCCGTCGACGTTTTCCGTCTGACGCGGAAGTTGGAGTAGTGGCTGTAGTTCATACTTGATGTTCACCACGTCCTCAGCTATGAGAACGCGTCCGAGAGGTGCCACCAGTGCACCTGGTTTGAGGACTAATGTGGACATTTTCGTCAACACAACGGTGCCACAACAGAGTAGAAGCAAGACACTGACGATCCAAGCCATTCTGTAAGGAATTACAAACGAGTTAACGTCTACTCGCAGAACGTAGTTTCATACAATAGTCATTTGGGACATTTTGCTTCTGAACAGTCTGTAAGGATGTATCAATCACATTATCATCAACTGGAGGTAAGACATTTATCTGGGTCTTCTTCAGACGATCCGCGTGCACGACATCTGCGATCTGTGCATTAGGCTTCCATATTTTGAATTTGTTGCCTGCTTCTTTTGAGATTATGCGGAATGGACCAGAAAATTTCGCCGAAAGTTTGGAGTTCCTTTCAGGTTCCTGTAACATAACAGCGTCCCCAACGTTCAGTGCGATAGGTTTAGCATGTTTATGTTGTTTGATGATCATTTCGGCGCGTGACGCCGCTAGCTGTGATCGTACTTGGTTATGAATTTCTGTAAAGACATGAATTTGTTTTGCCGCAAAATCATCCGTATTATATACCGGGTATGGCGCCTCTGTAAGGATGTCGTAAGGCAGACGTTTATCTGTACCATAGACAATATAGTAGGGTGTTTTGCCCGTAGAGCTATTAACTGACCCATTAATCGACGCTGCAACCTGCGGTAACCAATCCTCCCATGCGTATTGAAAACCACTAACAATTGGACGCAGTATTTCTAGGATTTTACGATTGGTTCTTTCAACAAGGCCATTAGCCTGTGGATGATAAGCTGTCACAAAAGTTTGTTTAATTCCATATTGTGCACATATATGCTCTATTAGCTCATTCTTGAACTCTGTTCCATTATCAGAGAGTAGAACTTTAGGCGTAGTATATGGACATATGAGATTCATCACTAATGCATAGGCTACTGCTTCTGCCGTTTTGCTTTTTAGTGGGACCAAGACCACGAACCTGGAAAAATGATCCACACACACTAAGACGTATCCTGATCCCTGATGACTCATTGGGAGCTGTAACACATCAACAGCGACTGTGTCAAACGGACGGTGTGGTGTAGGATATTGTAGAATCGGGGCAGGTGATCCTGTTGATCCTTTATGTTGAGCACATGCCAAACAATTAGCTATGTGTAATTCTGTCTTTCTTCATAGTGTTCCAGAAATACTTCTTTCGTAAATCCGCTAAGCATTTATCACGACCTTGGTGACCTGCTTGTGGGACATCGTGGAACAA